TGTTGATGTGCTGGGTGAGAATGGAGAACATCGTAAACAACCTCTGCGTTCTCCGCTGAGTCGACATCGGTCGCATAGAACTTTAGGGAGGGTGAGTTACGATTGGAATGTCAACAACAACAACAACAAGTACAACATCAACAACAACAGCAGCAACAACAACAACAACAAAAACATCAATTACATCGACATAAGCAAGTTCAAGAGCTGCAGCAACGAAAACAACAACAAATAATTGAAAAAGGCAACCAACGACTGTAACAAATTTTATTACAGAATCAAACAAATAAACAAACAACAACAAGAACAAACGAACGAACAGACAGACAGACGAACAAACGAACGAAAGAACAAATAGACAAAGGACAATCAAGCAGACAGAGAGACAAACGAACGAACGAAGGAACGAACGGACAGACGAACGAAGGAACGAACGGACAGACGAACGAATGAACAAACGGAGAAACAAACAAACAACTAATATCAAAAAAAAGAAACTAGCATCTTCAACAACAAACACAACTACAAAATCAACGGAGAAAACATCAAACTGCAAAGGTAACATCAACATCAACAACATCAACTACATCAAAATCAACAACTACGCCACTGAAAAAACATCAACAAACAAACAGTAACAACAAACAAACAAAAAACAACAAATACATACAAACAACAAGCGAAAAATAACAACAACATCAACATTTACAATAACGTTAAAAGCTTCATTAATTAATCATGCAAAATATTTCATCCATCATTAACCGTTATGTAAACATCGTTGTTGTTGTTGTTGCTATTGTTGTTGGGATGTTTGCTGTTGTTGTAGTATTGTTGTTATATCAATGTTGTATTGTTAACGTCTTTGCTTGTTGTTGTTATTGCAATATTGTTGTTATTTTGTTGTTATATTATTGTGGTGTTTTTAGTTTATTTCATATCTATGTATTATTTTTGTTGTTCTCAATAATAACATTAAAATACATTAACCACAAATAAAAGCAACGATAACAACAACCAAATCATGACAGTAACAACATGTTTTTTAGTAACAACATCATTATAGAATAAGATGACATCAACACGTTTAACAATGAACAAAGAAACAACATAGACAACAAAACAACGTTAATAAAAATTACATAAACTAAACAAACACAACAACAACAAATGCAACTACAACAACAAAAATAACAACAACAATAACAATAATATAAAAAATAATAAATGCATTAAAATAACATCAAGATACATTAAGATCCTAATTGACAATAACAACATCAAAATCATTGAAAATAATTTTTGTAGGTTTATATCGGTGTGTATGTTTATGTATGTCTGTATTTTTGTATATATGTATGTATGTATGTACGTATGTATGTATGTTTGTATGTATGTATGTATGTGGCCATACTAGATGAATTTTATAAAAATTCTATTATGGTCATCCTGCTTTCTTTTAATTTTTAATTTTGAGAAGCAAATAAAATTTTGTTTCGTTTCGTTTTGTATGTATGTATGTATGTATGTATGTATGTATGTATGTATGTATGTATGTATGTATGTATGTATGTATGTATGTATGTATGTATGTATGTATGTATGTATGCATGTATGCATGTATGTATGTATGTATGTATGTGGGTGTGTCTAAATTTACGCACGTATGTATGCAAACATACTAACCAAAACAAACAGACATACAAACACACAGACATACAAAATTTTGTCTCCGTATTTCTTTTATACGTGCTCAAATTTTCGTCGGTCGGCAGCTTTGAACAATTTCTTCACCGTTATTATTCTATTATTATGGTTGTTATTATCACTATTATAATTATTTTTATTGTTTTAATAATTATAATAAATATTATTATTATTATTATTGCTTTATTATTATTATTGTTGTTATTTTTTGCTTTTTTTCACTTTTATTCAGAACGATTTTTTGTTTGATCTTTATTAAGTAAACATAAAGATTGATAATGATGATGATAATAATGATGATGATGATGATGATGATGATGATGATGATGATGATGATGATGATGATGGTGGTGGTTATAACAATGATGATGACGACGACGATAATGATGATAATAATGATATTAAAGATGGTCATGATGATGATAAATAAGATACCGATGATGATGATGAGTATGCCTAACAAAGCTATGATAATTAAAAGCTGATTGTTAGTTACAATCAGAGATTTAGCGAACTTCAATGGTGAAATTCAATGGATTCATTCCCGGTGGAGATTTTGAAAAGTTCTCGACTTCCGTTTGATCATATTATTCCTGAAGTTACAGATAGGAAACGCAGTTTATAAATGAAATTTGTAAAAGCAATTTGGATGATTTGAATTTGGAGTCGGTAGTTCGTCTTTAAAAGCACAGAGAAGCTCTGAACGATATTACAAAAACAGAGAACAATAAATTCTTGCAACGAAATGAATTCGCATGGTCATGATTCAAAGATTGAGGTCAGTCATACTTTG